TAAAGTAAGGCCAGATACAATTAACAAAGTCTTTGTTAAGCGCTTGTTTTGAAAGTCTCGACTTTCTTGATGTGAAGAGAGAAATACTAAGACAAAGATTAAGAAGCCAGGGTGCAACGTATGTTTTCTCCCTCTATACTGTTCACTGACCAATTACGAATGCAAGCACTCCACTGACTGTGACACCTTATTGATGACAGAGATCGCCCATTAAATTGCAGAGAATGAATTTTTTTTTTATCTCTTTGTAAATTTCTCTTAATAAAAATGGTGATCTTTATGACCGTTGTTACTGAAAAGTAATTGGTGACAGCTGTAGGTGCACGTTTTGACAGGCACCTACAGCTGTCACTTAAAAGTGTTTATTTCCCCAAAGCATGGTGCTTGTGTAAATGTGCGCTTTTGGTGAGCCATTGTTAAATAGATGTACGGCTCACACCGCCGTTTGTTTATCCTCCAAACAGGCCTTGTGTTTGGATTTCGCCTTACGGCACAGAAAAGGGTGCCGTTTATGGCAAAAAGTTATTAAAAACCCTGCTGATCTCAGTTAGATGTCGAACTTGGTCTTTCACCGATTAAACTTTTCAAATCTTTGCTACAGAAAAAAAAAAAGGAAAAGAAAAAGAAAAAAACCCTGCAATTCACTGAGCAAAGGTTCAATTTATCATAAAACTCTCGGTTTCAAAATTGGACAAATGAATAAAGGGATAAGTTTCTAAAGAAACTGTGGTGTTGCGTCGGTGGGAGATTATAGTAGGTAATTTAGTGTCAACAACTGAGTTGAAAACGTAAATTAGCCACCTAAAAGGTGAAAGGAAATCAATAAAATTAGCCGCCTTTACGGTGGCCATTGCGTTTTCAACTCAGTTGTTAACACTAATATACCTCCAAAATTGGACTTTCGCATTAGAAACTGAAACCGACCCTCTTTGCCAAAAAACTCACCTATCAATGAGAGTTTCTACGAAGTTAAGCTAGCCATTGGTGACCACCTTTATAACACAGAAGACTAACCAAAGTCGTCGAGCAGTCCATCATTCTTAGCAATATCCGTTGCGTGAGTCAACAGATATAGGCGCAAAAAAAACAAAAAAATACTTGATGCTGCGGAAATTCTGGGAAGAAAATCAACGCTCTACAATCAAATTTTAAACGCATCTTTGCCAAAAGATCTTAATTGCATTGCACTGAAGTGCTGTGTTATTTTTTCCTTTTTTAGCCTCTTCAGGTAGTTAAAATCCTCCCTCGGTTGAATCATTCTTCGACCGTTAGCTTTGAAGCGTCTCAAGCTGAATTTGGAAAGCCAAGTACAGTCCAACCTTCATGTATAAAGCGGCACCGTATTAAGCGGTCACCCTGTATCTAACGGTCGGTTTTCAAAGTCCCGAAATTTGTTGCCCTTTACTACTGTAATTTCTCAACTCTATTAAGCGGTCATCTCTATTAAGCGGTCGTGCTCACCCTTCACTGAGTCCTAGCGGCTTGTTTGTATTATCATCCACCTGTATTGAACAGTTACTCAGAGCGGAATCGTACCACTCAAACTAAGCTAAGAATTCTTTTTCAAGCAAAATTTAATCCATTTATTTCTCCCGAAATCAATATTGGTAGTATTTTTGCGCAAGTTTTTTTTACATTAAGTGGTCAGCAAAAGAATGTAAAAATATTATCTTGGTTGTCACTTATGATATAAAATGGCATTTTTTATCGTTTTTTATAACATCTCTATTCTGTGGAACCTGTATTTAAGCGGTCAGCCTGAATTAAAAGGTCAATCCGCCATTCCCCGTTAAATACAGGTTTGACTGTATTACCAACTGCTTTTCTTGACAGTCTCCAATCAATCTCTAACTTGCTGACAGTTTCATCCGTCAGAAAGCTATTGATACATTCGTTTTACTTAGGGTAACGGGTAGAGAGTAGAAACTGTCTTCTTTAATGCTATTTTTTATTGACACATGTTCAAATAGTTTATCTAAGGATACATTTCCTCTGGAACCTTCCGTGAATTCAAGCTTTTTCAGGCGACTATTGAAAGTGTAAGTTGTCAAAAGTTTTATTTCGTTCTACTTTCCTAGCCTCCAGGATGTGTTTGAAAAGCTTGGAACATCTGTCCCTCAATATTCATTTAATTTATGAAAAGTTTCCTAAAAACCTCAAACATAAATACCTGACGGTAATAACTTTTTTTTTCCACACACGTTCAAAAAATTGATGTCTTATGTTTATACCCAACATCTCTCTATTCTAGCTAGGTCAATTCCCCATCCTGCTTAGGAGATTTCATCGCTTCACTTCCCATACTTAATGCAAATGCATCAGCGTGAGTCCTTGAAATGGTGAGATTTACATTTCAATGTAACGATAAGTAGGAATTACTTTTTCCACTCAAAATGTTTGACGACTGCATATGAATATCGAAGCGATAAAATGAATGATACATGCATCTTGATTGGTTCTTCGTTATAATGTATTGTCAGATTAGAGGGAGTATATATTAGTCATATACGACAAATATATTCCAGGTTGCCATGGATCTCTACAGTAATAGATTACAGAAGATGTCAAAATGTGGTAACAACGCGATTTATGACACCCTCGCCTCTGCTTCGTGTGTCACTTGTTTTTACCACATGATCGTATACTAATCTTATAGTAATCGTATACTTATCTTATAGTTTATATTTTGAACTGTTTCTTTTGTGATCGTACCCTATACCATAAGGTGTCTTTGTGCAGACACCTTTGGTACATCTGATCGAGCTCTTTATCTTTACAAATCCTTTATCATGCAGATTAAAATGTTTTATAGTACTTTTCTGCCTTGTCTAGTATATTTAACGAGAAATAGAAAGTCCTCACTTAGTATTATGTGTAAATGAGCAAGCATTTCTCTGTGTGAGTCAGCAATCAATGGGAGAAACTGGCAAACTATTCTCTTGTTTATTACCATCGGGCAGAGAGCCAGCGTTCCCGTCAGTTTTTCTGAGGTGAATCAACAATGAAAAAGATAGAAAAAAAACAACTATAAAACACGATAAAAAAAGGGAAACAGTAAAGCAGAGGGCTCCATGTCATAAGAGCTGACGAAGCTGTTTCCCGAAAATGGAATAAATCTACAACCTAGTATCATAATTATTTTGCGCTTTTCTGCGATTCGTTTATTTTTCTTCCTTCTTTGCTGTTTCTGAAGTTCTGGTTACTTTAGAAAATACACCTGACCGGTAATGACCCTGGAAGTTGTCAACTAAGACACAGTTCTTATCCTGTCATGTATTGCCGACTTAAATGTAGACGAATAGTGCCTAATTATATGTCTCATTTATTTGAACAATTTTTACTTAACACTACCGTTGTCATTTCCATCATTTGAGAGGCATTATTAGGTTTTTAACTTCAACTGCCTGACATTAAAATATTCAGCTCGTGTACTACCTATTTCATTTTAATCGAGTTCCAGATAGTGTTTGAATTATGTGTTTTACAGTTTGGTATCCAGAACATTCTGTTCGAAAGCCAGTTCACGACTAAATTCAGCGGTCGTTCTGTGCCTCTCTTTCCTTCTTTTAGAAAGCTTTGTGTTAACAGCTGCTTGCACATGTCTTCCTCTACAACATAAAGCCAGTGCTCGTCGAAACTCAGC